TCTTTCTTCCTGAGCCCTCCTTGCTCTCTGGTAGAGAAGTTCAAACCTTCTGAGAAGGCAGAACAGAAGGCAGACCTCTGTGATGTGACCTGAGAAGTCAGCAACTCCATCTCCCCTCCAAGCATCTGCGATTCCCCCCTGAAGATTCATTCAGTTGGTTTTGAAGGCAGGGTGGTTTTCTGGAGCACCCTTATTATATGCTACATACCTCTGTCTTCAAGAGTAATTTGCTGGGCTTTTATCAGCCAAAACCTTCTGGGGACAGATGACAGCTGTCTGAGGATTGATGGTGAAGCCATCACCAAGAGTCTTAAAGTCTTTCCTCTCCCAACATGAATGCACAATCATTTGTATTTGTGTCCAAAATAAAGGAAGAAATTGCCTAGGAACTTCTTAAGATAGAAAGCCAGATCATCCCTCAATTCCTTATCTCCCATGTTCCCTGGACTTGCCTGATAACAAGGATGTACTGGGACACCTGCCCCAAATGCAGAATTCTAGGCCTCCCAACCCATGTATCTTGAATTTCCAGGCACACACCTAGGGAATCTGTATTTTTGTAGCATTCTTAAGGCTTCAATCCTCAAATTTGAGACATATTGCCAAATTCTAAAACACTGATTATTTTTTCCCTCTCTCTCTCCCCATTAAATCATTGTTAATGCCCTACTGAGATTCAGGAGTGATAAACAGCACGATCTTGAATCAATCACTTCTGGTCCTTATTCTCATCTGCAAAATTGGAGCACTCCCTAGATCACTTGATAACAGTCTACCATTTGCACTCGCCAGTGTGGGTTGTGAAAATTAATGTCACATCATTTTCCACAGGCCTTTTTTCAATAAGCTACTTAATTTCCAGTAAAATCTCTTCCATGACAAGAGAGAACTAAAGGCCCCAAACCCCTGGGCGTGCAGAGGTAACACCTGTAAAAAGGCCTGGCATAGGACTCAACTCTTAGAACTCCTGAAAGCTTTAGCCTCCTTCTCCCAATGGTGTTGTGCCAACTATGTTTCCAAATGGCAGGCACTGAGGCTTCTACCATCAGCCCCCACATACAGCTCCCAGAAGTCACCAATGCACAGGACCACCAGCATGGGCAAATTTTGCACAACACTCTCTGATGGCATATGATCAACTCCAAAATCCAGATTCTTCCTGGCGCATTGTGATCCCCTAGATGGGGCTATCACTTGGCCTGCCCCCATGGGACAGAACATGAGAAGGAGCTAGGGCAATTCGGACAAAGAGCCACACGGCTTTTTAAGTTTTGTTCTGCTCTGAAGGAAACTCTTCTTGCCCTTACTGATAGGCAAATGCTCCTAGCTCTAGCTTTGCGAGAGAAACAAGAGCATAGCTCTTTTACTTTTAAAGGTCTCCATCCAGGTCATGAAATCATCTGTCAAGACAACTTAACTTTTATGCTTCCATTCTGGTAAGAACCCTTTACATGAGGACACTGCTGATGGCTGGTGATGCTTTTTTGAGCAAACACACTTGGGGGTATGGATGAAAGCCAACGGAAGGTCAAATGACTTGTGGGTGTTATGACTCCTGACTCAGATTTCATTAGAAGCTTCAAGGGTGAAAGAAAATCTAGATTTCCATCTCAGTTGGCTGTTCATTTTCACAAGGAATATTTTTTCCCTCAGCCAGCATATCAGGCAGGATTCTATCAGAAAAAAAAAAAAAAAAAAAAACCAGAACCAGTAGGAGATATGAGGAGGGGTCAAAGCATTCGTGGAGAATGGAATTAAAATGCAAATTAAAATTAAAATTCACAAGCATTTTCCATGAACTTTTTAAAGCCCGTGTGTGTGTGTGTGTGTGTGTGCATGTGTGTGTGCGTGCGCGCAGATTTATCTCAAGGAATTAGCTTATGCAAGTGTGGGGACTGGCAAGCCCAATATCCATAAGGTAGGGTAGGAGGTTGGAAATCTTGGGATAGGAGCTGCCACTGCAGCCCACATATGAAGTTTCTTCTTCCTTAGGGAAATCTTGATGCTGTTCTTAAGGCCTTGCACTGAGTGGATGAGGCCCACCAAGATTGTGGAGATACTCTCCTTGACTTAAAGTCAACTGATTGCAGACTTCAACCATGTCCACAAAACAGTTTCACAGCAACACCTAGATCAGGATTGGATTCAAAAACTGAACACCCTAGCCTCACCAAAGTGCCACATAAAGTTAACCCCATAGCAGCATATCACTCAGTTTTACTACCTGTTTTCCAGACTGTTAGGGATTATGATACAAAAAACATGACAACTATTCTCAGGATCACCTAACGAAAGGCCTCTTAGGTGACATCCCTGCAAGACAAAAATCCCAGTCGCTAGCACCTCAGTGAAGACACTGACTAGCTGGTTGGTTCCCTAAGGGAAAAATGAGGAAACAGAGCAGAGCAGAGAGAGGGGCAGCAGAGAACCAGGGTTTGGTTTTCTTTTGGCCTTTCTTTGAAAGGCCTAAGTTAGGCCTGTTGCCCATGAATGCAGAAGTGAGCAATAACTTAGAAACTCCAAGGGAACACATAATCCCCCAAATGGAAAATGGGGATTATGAGAAAAACTCTGCGGGGATTTCCAATATTTTTGCACCAGAAGAAACATTTGTTTCCTCGAACTTTCTGAAGTACCCTTGTATTGGTTTTCAAAATGAACCATGATTTTATCGGAAATGGTTGGTTTCCTGATTCTGTTTGCTGCTGCCCAATATAAGTGTGGACTTGCACTTGGCCAGCACACACAACACAGAACACAAGCAGACAGAGCCTCACTCTATGAGTGGGACTTGGGGAGCAGTCACCTCCTCCATAAAGGGAGAGAGTGGTACAAACAATCTCTGAAGGCCTTTCTGGCTACAGCTGCAGAGACGGTTCAGAACCTTCTAGCAATTCTACCAGTAACAAACCTCTCCAAAACGCAGTGGCCGAAAATAACAGGAAGCATCATTTTTCCTCATGAATATTCAATTTGGGCAGGGCTTGGTGGGGAGGGCTCACTAAGCTCCACACCGTATCCACCAGAGTTATTCCAGAGGGCATGGAAAATTCACTTCCCACATGGCTCAATCCCCTCTGTGTCCACAAATACATTCTTCTTTTTTTTAAGATTTTATTTATTTATTTGAAAGGTAGAGTTACAGATAGTCAGAGGGAAAGACAGAGAGAAAGGTCTTCCTTCTGTTGGTTCACTCCCCAGATGGCCACAACGGCCGGAGCTGTGCCAATCCGAAGCCAGGAGCCAGGAGCTTCTTCTGGGTCTCCCACACGGGTGCAGGGGCCCAAGCACTTGGGTCATCTTCTACTGCTTTCCCAGGCCACAGCAGAGAGCTGGATGGGAAGAGGGGCAGCCAGGACTAAAACCAGCGCCCATATGGGATGCCGGCACCACAGGTGGAGGATTAACCCACTGCGCCACGGTGCTGGCCCCAACAAATACAGTCTTAATATGGTGCAGTCCTCAGCAGACAAGCTGCAAAGATCGGTGGGTGAATGAGTGAATGAATGAGTGAGGGACTGCCCTGACACAGCTAATGGCCACTCTGCTTGGTTCCACCTACCTCTCAACTCATGTACTGTCGCTTCCAGCTAGAAATATGCAACTTGGAATAACTCAGTCTGGCTAAAGATCAGTATTGCCATCTGTAAAATGAAGCAATAGCAGGTCCTTGTGTGGAATAAATGAACAAATGCACTCCTCCTTTTTATTGTTGTTTTTGTTATGATCAGTTAGTGTCCTGCCTCCCCCAGGGGTATTTGCATTTAAGAACTGACTCTTAAAAAAAAGTAAAGATTTACTTAGTTATTTGAAAGGCAGAGAGAGAGAGAGAGAGAGAGAGAGAGAGAGAGAGAGAGAGAATCTTTCATCTGCTGGTTCATTCTCCAAATGGCCACAACAGCCAGGGCTGGGCCAGACCAAAACCAGGAGCTAGGAACTCCCCATCCAGGTCTCCCACATGGGGGGGGCAGGGCCCAAGCACTTGGGCCATCATCTGCCGCTTTCCCAGGTGCATTAGCAGGGAGTTGCATGCCAGCGATGCAGGCAGAGGCTTAACCCACTGTGCTACAACGTGAACTCCCAAGAACTGGCCCCTGGAAAAGAGAAGAAGCCATTCCTTACTCCCCATGTCCTCTAGCCTTCAATGCTCATCTTTAGTGGTGGAATTTCAGGGCGTGTCAGACAAGACTACCAGAAGCAAAGAGGCTTTCTCATAGCCTCGAATCATCTACCATGGTTTCCAGTCCATGGGAACGGGGTTAGGAGGCCCTACTACTGAGGAAAAGGCATGTTTAGTGGAGTCCAAGCCACTGGGTTCCAATCCTGAATCCAGCTCTTCCAGCCATTACCTACACGGCAAACTTCCAATTCTTCTGTTCTATCTGAGGCTCCCTATAGCACCTCCCTGCCAGGTATTGGGGAGGCGTAACTGAGCCACTGCAGAAGAGTGGACACCCTCTCTGTAGACCAGCCCCGGGCCGGGCTGCAGAGACGCAAGTCAGTTGCCCGAGGCCACACAGCTGGTGGTTGCCGGAAGCAGGATGAACTCTGGTAGACTGGCCCCAGGGCCCTATTCCTAACAGTCTCCGCCTTGTGGTAGGTTCTGCTTGCATTTGCGGAGAAAGGTGTGGGAGAGGGCTGGAAGAAATGTTTTGCCCCAAGAACACAGCAGCACCCACATAGCTGCTGGGGTAGAGCACCGTAACTGTGAGATCAAACCTGGGGGAAGCAATGGCAAGCTGTTGGGGGAGGGGGAGCGCCTCTGACGAATTCAGCCTGCGAGCAGCTCCCTTGGGAGGGCAGAGTGAGGGGTGCTCCGACTGCTTGTTCCAGGAGGTCCACTTTCCCACTCTTCCCTCCCCCGGCACAGTCCCCACCCCACTCGCCAACCTCGGGGCCTCTCCCACCAGCACAACCTGCCCGTGCCCCCTCGTGCCAGCCCCCAACAAGTGCTCAGCACGCTTCCTCCTCCGGGGTCTGCCCGCACCCCGTGCCCACAGGGCCTGCCCAGCCCCCTCCTGCGTTGCCCGTCGCAGCGACTCCTGGACCGGGTGGTGCGGCGCTACGCCGAGGTGGCCGATGCCGGCAGCATCTTCATGGACCACTTCACCGAGCGCGACAAGCTGCGTCTGCTCTACACGCTGGCTGTCAACACTCACCCCATCCTCCTACAGGTACGCAGCCACTGGCCCCCAGCCCTCCAGGTGCAGGGAAGTGGGAGGTAGGAGCAGGAAAAGCAGGAAGGGTAGAGAGAAGAAGAGAAAGAAGAGAGAAGGGAGAGGAAGAGAAGGGGGAAGAGCAAGGTGCAGGTAGAGGACAGAGAAGCCTGGTGAATACTGGCCAGAGGGAAGCGGTTGAATGCACAGCCACAGCTATCATTTAATGAGCACCTGCTATGTTCCCGGTGTTGCTGCACATTCAACATCATCATTCATTTAAGGTTCCCAGCAGCCTACCCGGAATGTTATGACTGTCCCCTTTCCCGGATGAAGTAAGTAGGACACTGAGATAAGAGGTGGCTTGGCTGACGTCACTTAGTGTCAGGCATGAGCCAGGTCCAACCCAGATCTAGAGCCGTCTGCCTTCGGAGGCCAAGCTCTTTCCGCGCAAACCTCCCTTGTAGCATCGCCATCGGAAAGGCCAGAGGGAGATAGAGGGGTGCTGGCTGTCCTACACTCCCACTGTTCTCATCTTGCATGGTGGCAGTGGTGGGCCCTTGCAACCCCAAGGCCTGGCTACTGAGACTCCCAGGCTGGGGTCTTCCAGTCAATGCCTGGCTCTGCCCAGGAAGAGGTGGCGTGGATCGGAAAAATGGCCGTGCGGCTGCACATGTCCACAGCGCCAGCAGGCCTGGACCTCGCTCAGAGAAGGGAGTCTTCCAGAAGCTCGTGGAAAATTCATGCTAGAAAAAAAAAATACAGGCATGGACTTGTACCCAAATAAACTTATATTTTGATTCCCTTTTGCCACTAACTTTGTGAAGTCCTCCCATAATAGGAAAAGGTAGAGAAAACCTGAAGACTCCATGGCTGTGGGCTCCTCCTAATGTGCCAAGCAGCTTAATATGGGCCAAAGGCCACAGTAATTCACCACACCGGGCAGCTGGCTTTGATTTTTTTAAGGCAGGAAAACAAGGTGTGTGTGGTGGGGGTGGGTGAGGGGAGTCTGAGTATTTATCATGCCTGTTATGTACCCTAGAGGTTAAAGAAACACCATTCTAGACAAAAAGCTGCCGCAACAAATAGTCAAGAAAAAGGCCAGCAGGGTTTCCACCCCTCCTTTTTTATTTCATAAATTCACAAAGTTGGAGCTGTGACAAGGAGACAAAGGACAGAGGCTGGAGCTGTGCCCTTCTCTCGGCCAGCGTTAAGCTGCGTGGAAAGTTCCAGACCTTTGAGAAGCATCTGTGAGTCGGCAGTTACCCCACCAGGCAGATTCACCCAGTGCTGGCCAAAGTGACACTCGGGGCCAGCACAGAGCTACCCCAAACTTCAGTCCCTTGAAGGACTGCCCTATTCCAGGACCAGGTACCTGTACTACTACTTTGAAAAATACTCTTCTCTGTAAATCAGCCTTGAGTTGACCCCATATTATTTTTCCCATAGCTTCCTTCTAAGCATCTCAAACACCAGTCATGTGTTTTGCAATTGCACAACTCTTAAAGCAAACACGTCTAAAATCTGGGCCAGTCCATTAGCGTTCTCCTACCCTGCTTGGAGATACCCTGTTGCGATGCAGACTACTGCACAGAAATGAGAGCGCCCTCCTCTTCCCAATCTTGCCAGCCACAATAGAATAAGAAAGCAAAAGAGGAGAGGACAGGAGTATTGCCACATTCCAAAGGGTATAAAAAAAGATGGAGAGACACTTGGCCGAGTGTTTTGCAATGCAGGATGCCTGTGCAAGGCTGATCTTTCGGTGTGCTCTTGGTGAACAGCAGAGAGAGAGAGAGAGAGAGAGAGAGGCTCCTGAGATTTTTTTTTTCTCTCTGATTCTCTAATTGCCTCCTCCTTCTGCTTGGCAGATCTTCCCTGGGGCCGAGGGATGGCCGCTGCCCAAGTACCTCGGCTCCTGTGGCAGATTCCTGGTCAGCACCAGCACCAGACCACTGCAGGAATTCTACGGTGCTCCCCCAGACCAGGCAGCCGACCTCGCCTACCAGCTTCTCAGCATCCTGGAGTCTCTGAGGAGCAATGATTTGAACTACTTCTTCTATTTCACCCATGTTGACGCACGCACGTTTGGCATCTTTAACAACGGGCATCTGTTCATCCGGGATGCCAGCGCACTGGGCGTCATCGACAAGCAGGAAGGTACTCAGCATGGGATGGCTGAGCAGCTGTCAGAGAGGAAGTCAGGGTGACAGGAGCTAGGGAAGGGGTGGCCTGGGGTCACAGTCCTGTGCCTTTTCAGTCTCTGCAGCATAGTGAGAGCCACCGAGGTTTGGCCAATGTTGGATGTTATGTACAACATGCCTCATCCCCCCTTGAATTTGTTCCAACTCCATCTCCAAAGAGGAAATGGACTTGACCTTGTCTGTTAAGGGCACTGCGCCTCGTGGTACAGCCCTGATTGCACCCTCCCAGGGTAGTGCTGTCATCCAGTCAGGTCTGGGTGGCCAACGTGTGGCCCAGCGACCTACCTTGACCTTCCTCACACACACACACACACACACACACACACACACAATTCCCCAAACCATCTCCCCCTCGGCACTTTTCTCATCAGATGAGTTTAGCCCTGATCTAAAACTTAAATATCGGGCTGATTCATCGGCACATTTTGCAATACATTTTGGCACATTTTGTTTTTAAAAAGCATAGAACCAAATGAGGTATAGGAGTGAATCATGTCTTCTCACTACGTGCAAGGGCCCACCCAGCATGCTAAAACTCTTCAAACTTCCCAGTCTCTAACATGCCCAAATTTTCTGAGTCCAACAATAAGACAAAGGATTTTCTTCTTCAATTTCTGGCTTTGTTTATACAAGAAGGCCTACCAAGACAGACAAATGAAACCGCACTTACTCATGTCCTGATTTGCTTGTATTAAAAAGAATCAAATTAAAACAAATGAGGCAAATTCCAGAATATTCAGGATATGTAAATCATTGAAGGTCGCTCTCACTACAACCACTGCATGCACAGTTTTGATTTCCTGGTGTTTTTTTTTTTTTTCTCCTGCTTTTTATTTAAAAAAAAAAAAAAAGCAAATGAAATCAGTCCATCAGTCCTAAAATCTCTTGAGTTCCCTAATTTGGTCAGAACAGCAAAATAACAATAGGCGTGTGCCCTCGACAATTGTAAACCCAGCTTCTAACAGGAATAAGTAAGTGGGTTTTCCAGGCTCAGGCCTCAACTTGTTACAGCAGAGAGCTTTGTGTCCCCAAGCCCTACCTCTACTGGGGACAGGCAGATGCTGGGAGACTAAACCTCTGTGCCCAGCAATGCCCAATGGCGGAGCCCTGCCCCCTGGGGAGAACAGGTTGGAGGGCCGGTCATGATCTCCCTCTCTCTTCTAGGCAACCAAGCCACCGCCAGCGCCGCGGAGAATAAGGACATTTTTAGCTGCCTGGTTTCCGGCTGCCAGGCCCAGCTGCCCTCCTGCGACACCGTCCCTGAGAAGCAGAGCCTGGTGCTGGTGTGTCAGCAGCTGCTGCCGCCACTTCTCCAGGGCAGGTTCCCCTCCCCGGTGCAAGAGGAGATAGACGCTGCCCTCGCTCGGTGTGCAGAGGGCGCCCGGCCTGACCCGGAAGTCCTCAAGGCCGCCAGTCACCTGAAGGAGCTCCTGAGGCCCCTGAGAACCTGTGACCCCAGATTTGCCTACCGATACCCAGACTGCAAGTACAACGAGAAGTTCTGAGGAGCTGGGGTCTCGCAGGTCGTGGGGAGCCGTGCGCCGGGCCCACCATTGCCCTGGTTGGACGGCTGCAAGGTTGAAGGGAGCAGCGCCATTGTAAACACTGAGAGAGGCACACATTCACTTCCGGGGCACTGAGGAATTTGACCCACCCGTGGAGAGTGCTGCCATTCCACCCAATTGCCTCCCCCCCACACACACTGGCTGGACCACCACAGCAGCACCAGGGGAAGGGGGCGCATCTGAAGACCCCAGTGTGGACGGACATTCAGTCGATGTTTTTGAGCCTCAGTTTCTCCTGTTCTCCACCAGACTCTGTGAGAATGAAACAAGACAAACATGAGGGGCCCGGGACACATGCTCATTACCACCCCACCCCACCCCACCCCGCCCCAGTGGTTTACAAAGCATGTTCCAGAGGCAATGACAAAGAGCCGCGCGCGGGTTCAGGAGGCTGGCGTCCTGGGAAGGCCGAGTGTGGGGAAGGCTCCCGCCACTAGCACTTGTGATTTAGGCAAGAGGGGCCCCCTTCCTGCTCCCCGTGTGCCCTGCCCACACCATCGCTGAGCGAGGCGACTGCAGGCCAAGGGGACATGCCATTGGGGCTCACTTTCAGGCCAGCCTCTGGGTGCCCTTCACAGCCTGAGGAGAAGCCAGGGCTAAGACGTGCTGGGGGAAGGGGCAGCCACGGCCAAGGTGGAAGTCCGGGTGCTCTAAGAAGCTAGCTTAAGACAGAATTAAACAGGCCGAGACTTTTAGAGGAGATGCCTGTGGGAACGGGGAGAAGGAGGGAGCTGGTGCAAGCCAGGAGGACCCCACCCCCACCCCGCAGCGGAGCAGAGAAGCAGGACGGAGAGGAGGAAAAATGGCTGCCGGGGTATTCTCCAGGCGAAGCCAGTCATCTGAGGAGGACCCCCACCCCCACCCTTTAGCATCCTGGCTGCGCTCATTGGGTGGCGGGAACTGCCCATGGGAAGCTTGGCCCCAGACCACTGGCAAAGATGGATTTCTGAGCTCTGCTCCCTGGAGCAGGGGGTCTAGGAGTGGCAGAACATTCTCCTTGTAGCCACAGCCACAGTCGGGGGCCCAGGGCCAGCTCTCTCCACTGTGCGCTCTGGTGCCTCTACGGACTTTCATTCAAACTTGGCCTTCGAGGTGACTATAAAACTGCATTTTCAAGGGCAGCCAATACAGCATGTTTTACCCGCTGGTTGATCGGTGTGCTTTATCTTTCATGTATGTAGCCGCATGCTGGGTGGCTCTTCCTCTGTGTAGGTCATTGGCCCAGCCCTCACACAGTAGTAGGGACTCTTCTGGACTTGTCCCCAAGCTCCTGGAGCACTCTCTCCCCACAGGGACTTCTCTCTGCACGGCCTCTGGTCTACCTCTGAACCACCACCTTTAAGGTCGGATCACCTGACTTAACAGATGGGGGACGCTGAGGTCCAAGGCAGCAGAACCACGCGCTGGGAAAGTTCCAGATCTCCAGCTACCAATGCATGCACCTCTTGCTTTCCTGTTTGGCCTTGTACTCCTCAGTTCTGGCCCCTCCGTCACACTTTAAAATAGACCCCCCCCCCCCCCAGTCCTGCTTTGTGGAATATTAATCAGTTGCTTTGGCATTTGCCCCTGGGCGACTCTGGCACCACCCCCCGGGCAACCATGACAGTGAGCTTGTGGAAGGGCAGGCTTAGATCACCTTCTGGCTTGAATGACCAAGCCTGCTTCCCACCGGCAGCGTCACGGTCCCTACCCAGCCAGTACCTGACCAGAGCCCAGGAAAGGGACCTAAGCCTCTAGACCCGCCACAGTGCCACTGACCAATAAGGAGTGCCACAGCGAGCCCATATGTTTTTCCATGACCAAAGGCTTCCGTTAATCCTGTGTGCAAAGTTACACATGATGAGGTCCCTGGGGAATCTGGAAATGACCCCTGCCTGGAGTCACTTTCCTCTAGGCCTTCTCCCATCTCTGTGCCCCCTGTGAGTACATCCAGAAGCAGGAGAGAGAGACCTCGTGCCCTACCTCCACAAGTCCCAGGAAAGAGCAAAGAACAAAACCACTCTGGCGTCCCCTGGGGGGGGGGGCTGCCGGGAGGTTTGTTTTGAATATAAATGATGACAAAATGCATATGTATACAGCTGTGTCCACAGTGCAGGCCAAGAGCTCCTGAGGGCAGACTGGGGGAGGCTAGGCCTATACTATGTGTGGGAATGGCCTAGAAATGATGGCCCAGCTGGAGGCTTTTCCAAGCCTCGGGAGGTCGCAGTGTCCCCTTTCTCATACACTTTCATCACACACCCCAAAGTCAGAGACCCCTAGGCGGGCACTGCCTTCAAGGTACTCCCCTGCCTCTTGCTCCCCATGGTGGACACAGAGCTGAGCCGCCCAGCCCCCCTGTCCAGCAGGCAGCCTCAGCCGTTGGCCCCTGTGGGCTCTGCCTCGGCTATACAGAGCAGCTTCACTCACGATCACACCTGTCCACAGCCAGATGTGACAGCCTTGCCACCCTCTGGTCCTCTGAGCAGCGATTCTGCAGGCAGTTCTCCTCCTGGAACTCCCCCAACGAACTGGTTAACACGGTGTTGGGTCTGCATGGCCTCTGCCCATCCTGCTCCCTCCACGTTCTTTGAACGGAGGTGGATAGCTATGAAACACACACCCCACCCTGTAGTGGGCTGAAGGGTGGCCCCCAGAATGATATCTCCACGTCCTAATCTCCAGAACCTGGGACTCTCACCTTAAAATGTGGCAAAAGCATGATTGGCTTAAGATTTGTGACAGGAGTTGGTGGCTGTACTGGTCCATTCCGGTTGTATGAAGAGGGAGGTTGAGAATGGGGTGATGTGGCCACAAGCCAAGGAACTCTGACCGTCCCCAGATCCTCCAGAGAGAGGCGCTGCTGACACCTTGATTTCAGCCCAAGGAAAGCAACTTCAGACTTTCAGCCTCCAGAACTGTGAGAGAATACATTTCTGTGATTTCAAGCCACCTGGTTTGGAGAAATTTGCTATAGCACACCCACAGTAAATTACACTGCAGTGTCTGCTTCCAGAGACCCCTAACTGCCCCAGTAGATGGTGATGCAGGAAGGACCCCGTGTGCGTGAGTGTGGGACGTGTCCATAGCCAGAGCTAAAGGCTGCCTTCCTCCACTTACAAAGTTCCATGGATGTGGGGACTTTGAAAAGTTTGTGGTGAAATGGAATCCAAAAATAAGTTTATTTTGGTGAAAAAAAAATTGTGAAATCCATGCCTAGTTTGCATTTTCCATGTCTTCAAAACACTTCTATGCAAGGATTTCTAGACTTTTTGCACCAAAATAAGCTGATCTTTTAATTCCATTTCTGCAAACTTTTTGAAGAATCCTTGTAATCTTTGAAGATCTATCTGAATACTATAGCCCAGCCCCCGGTGATATCTTTCTAAATCCTGTCTCTGAACTTCTGGACCACAGGTCTGTGTCCCATTTGAGGCTAATCTCAACAGTATCCCAGAGAGATCTGTGTCCCGCCTCCTCATCCAATTCATCATAGCAAGCAGCTGGGCATGGAGCAGATGCTGGGAAAGTGTTCTTGTTGACAATAACGATTGCATTCCCCAACCCTTTTCATTTGAGGTTGTCCATACACCATACTGGCCGTATACACAGTGACTTTAAAAAGTTAGTGGAGGGGCTGGCACTGTGGCATAGTGGGCTAAGCCTCCATCTATGGTGCCAGCATCCCATATGGGTGCCAGTTCAAGTCCTGGCTGCTCTACTTCTAATCCAGCTCCCTGCTTATGGTTTGGGGAAGCAGTGGAGGATGGCCCAAGTGCTTGGGCCCCTGCACCCACGTGGGAGACCTGGAAGAAGCTCTTGGCTCCTGGCTTCGGATGGGCCCAGCTCCTGCCATTGCAGCCATCTGGGAAGTGAATCAGTGGATGGAAGACCTCTCTTACTCTGTGTCTCTCCCTCTCTCTGTCTGTAACTCTGCCTTTCAAGTAAATAATTAAATCTTTTTTAAAAAGATAATATAAAAATATAACGCACTATAATCATCCTGAGACACAATAGATCGTGAATATGCCAATCATATACCAAGAATGGGCTCAGAATCTCAAGTGAAGAGTTTCCATGAGCTTGGAGGATGCCCTAGACATCTATATTTTTGCTGAACTCCTGGGTGAGTCAGTTCAAAAGATCTCTCTCTCTCTGTCTCTCTCTCTCTGTAACTCTACCTCTCAAATAAATAAAAAAATCTTTTTAATAAAAAGCTAAAAGATTTGTGGAAAATAAAATTAAGTTTGTTTTGACACACAAGAACTTTGAAAAACACACATCTGTAGATTCTTCAAAAAGTTCATGGAAATTGTATGTTGCAAAAAACTTACACACGAACTTCAAAATTTTTTGCACCATAACAAATTCACGTTTTGATTCCACTTGTCCATGAACTTTTTGAAGCACTCTTGCATAAGACACAGCCCCTTCCTAAGGATCAGTGTCTTTCCTTCAGTGACCAGGATACAGCAGAGTCGACACCCAAGTGAGTTCAGCCACAACAAAATCATTGTCATGTACTCACAGTCCCTAGGAATTTGATGGAGGTGTTAGAGTACATATTCTGAGTTTTGTCAGCCCCTGCCTTTTGGCCTGTAGGACTGGCTACATGATTTGTGAGATCCATAGCAAAATGAAAAAAAAAAAATTCTTAACAATCGCAAGACAAGGAGTGGGTGTCCGGCCCAGCAGTGAGGATACCCACTGGGTTTGAGTCCTAGATCTACCTCCTGACTTCAGTTTCCTCCCAGTGCAGACCCTAGGAGGTAGTGGTGATGTCTCAGGCAATCGAGTTCTGCCACCCATGTGGGATACCTGAATTGAGTTTCCTGCTCTTGGCTGCAGCCTGCCCTGATTGATGCTGCTCTTCCACGTGGGTGACAGAGACATAAGCACTTGAGCCATCATCTGTTGCCTCCCAAGGTGTGCATTAGCAGGAAGCTGGATTGGAAGCAGAGGCAGGACTTTAACCCAGGCACTCTGATATCGGATGCAGGCATCCCAAGTAACATCCTAACCACTGCTCCAAATGCCTACCCCAAGCCCTCCTTTTCAAACAAAGCCAGTTTCAGTGATTTGCTCCTAAGTGACAATTTTCAAGTCTCTTGTTTCCCAGTCCTCCCCTCTAGCATCTCACTTCTTCCTGTAAAAGAGCCCATGAGCATTTCCTCCAGAATTATAATAAATACTTCATTGGATTTACGTCCTTTTGGGTAAGAGCTACAACACTGGAATCATACAGATCTGGTATCAAATCATGACTGCCATTTACGGTGTACCATTGGGCAGGTTCCTCAACCTTTCTGAACCTCACTTTCATCGTCCATAAAATGGGGACACCAAAGATTCACTTTTGCAGGTTGTGGGCCTGTTTAACCCAATGCCTCTCAAGAGCCTTGCACACGGGGTGTTCTGTGTGTGAAGGGATATATAGGGAAGATATGGGGTGTCCCAGCAGAAAGGGTGCCACAAGCAGCCAAGATGAGCACAGCAGCCTTTTGGAAGGGACTCTGATCCCTGCCCCAAGTCTCTGTTCCAGCCCAGAGGAAGTACCAGGATGCCTCAGGCAACTAGACAGTCTGCTGTATTCCCTGCTTCCCCCATCCAAATGCCACCTTTCATTCAAGGAAGAAGGGTTGTTCATGAAGGTCATCTGGGTAGCCACTATGCTCGCCTCCCCAGCTTGGCCCTCCACCAGGCTCGGAAGGTAGTCCTCCTCAAACAGGCATGGTTGGGAGCCTGAAGTGCAGCTTGGCTCAGTCCTTGAAGAGAAATGGGGAACACAGGTTGGTGTGGCTGCCAGTTCATGGAAATGTGGCTTTTCTGCCCACTTCCAGCCTGTCACCCACCTGTATTGGCACAACAGGGCTCCCATGCACACAAGGATGCTCTCCAGTCTGTCCACAACTCTTTTGTGGCATTGTTCAAGGACGCTGTGGACTGTGTGGGAGGGTCAGTATACAGGCAGGGGACCCCTCTGTGTTTGCAAATATGATGACCCTCCAAGAAAATTATATTACAGTAAACAAACAGTGATGGTGGGCTAGGCAGCCTGTGCAAGTGGCCTGGAGTGCCTTGTCACATGTAAAGAGAGGAGAACATCCCTGTCCCACTCAGGTGACCAGACAATGGTCTCAGGCCTGCACCATGACTCTAGCAGCATAGCAG